TTTGAAGGTTTTGGAGTCCGACTCCCATGGACGTCCGGAGGAGCGTCCACAGATGGTCCTCTAGACGTCCCAGAAATTTGGGAGTCGGAACTCCAATTTCTGGGAGTCGTTTAACTAAGACCCTTTTTATATTCATTTTTTTCTCACCCACATGTTTAACCTCTTGGATGTAGACTACTCAACACCTAGACACCATTGGTTCTTTCCCTCATTTTTTGACTCACTGAGCTGTTCCAACAAAAATTACTTTTTTTGCCCAAAAATCTTTATCCAAAAATTCTCTCATCCTCTGGTCCAAATTTCTTCACTGTCAATTGTGATTTTTTGTTCCATTTTATTCCTGGACTTGTCTCTTGTGGGAATATAAGGGCCTGCACTTTGAAAATGCTTTTTATTCCCAATCAGAGCTCACCCCAGCAATCCAGTTATCTGATCAGCCATCATTGACCAAGTAGTTGACCATCAACATTGGGCATGCTAGATATTTGTGTTTAAATAATGTCACAATTGTACCTCAAGCTGAATATGCAAAAGCCACATCTTTCCTAATATTATACCTTATTCTCTCAATATTCTTACTTCTTGGTTCTTGGAGAAGTATTCCTATAAGCACCTGTACCCCTCAAACTTTGTTCTCCCCAAGAGCAGTTCCACAAGGGGTGTTCCAATAGTGGCCTGAAAATCTTTAGCTTTAAGTCTTAATTATGTTTACTAGTATGAAGGTAGATACACACAGATTTAATTGTCTAAAAATAAACCAGCTGATGTGTGATCATCCATCAGAATAGGAAATATAGTTAAGACCAAAAAACAGAGATAATCAAATGACTGTTGGGACACCACTTGTGGGACTATTCTTGGGCGAAAATTGAGAAAAGCTGGAAGAGCCACCCCTCAAGGAACTGAGGATTAAGTTAACAAAAATAAGATATGAGAGTATGGATGATCAGCTAACTGAATTGATGGGGTAGGATCTGATGGGGAACAGACAGCATGGCCAAAGGACATGCCCTTGTGTCAGTGTGCCAAACAGGTATGAGTCAGGGAAAAAGGTGAAGAAAAACAAACATGAAACAAGACAAAAGCAAGGATTGGGTAACAGGCTTGGGGAGGGAACAGTTTAGCAAGGGTAAAACAAGGCTGAGACAACAGGGATGGAAACATGACCTATGTGGATACTGTAGTAATGCTCCAGGAGTATGCTGGATTACTAGAGTCTTCTTCCCAGTATGGATGTTGACTTTCTCCCACCTTGGGTCTTGATTTGTATTTATTTTATTACCAATTGTGGCCAGCCATCCATTTTTCTCATGTTTAAAGTTTCTGTTGAGTCTTCATTTCTGCAAAATTTGAAGCAAACATGTACAGTTGAAAGAGGCTAAAAAATGTGATCAAAATTTATCAACCTATTCATCAAGCTGACCTGTTGTTTAGCTAACTCAGTCAAAGGATGTGGTGACCCATTGTTGATAAGTTGATGACAGTGGTGATCTATGTACCAGCAAGGACAACTGTCAACAATGTGGTGGTCGATGTGCTGTTCAGGCTGACCCGGTGCGCAGTTCCCGAGAAGGGTTTACTGACGTCATCCAATGAATCGGTCCTCAATCCTGATTGTCCTGTTGACCATCTCTTTACCACCAACCACCATCAACAACCATTCAACCATCTACTAGCAATCATCAGGAAGAAGAACCTCAGTATCGATGTCAATCGATCAAGAACAAAAACAGCAACGACCAACTAACCATCCAACAATCGACCACCATCCATCCATCATCTCATTAGCAACACCCACCATCCTACTCGTCCCAATTCAACCCATCAGCCTAGACACTTTCAATGGGATCGTGCAACTCTTCAAACAGTTTTCGACCTTCCCCCTCTCAGAACTAAGCTCAGCAAACAACCCAACCCAAACTCCACCCGCTTCACCCTTACTCAATACATCAAGCCAACCTCAACTGCTGCTCAACTTCAACTCCACCTATTTCTTCTCACCCTCATCGATCTATCACAAGTTCTTGCATACCTTCCAACCACATAGGAAACCATTCGGAATAATCGGAATAGTCGACTGTTCTCATTGGGGGCCGTCATCTGACCATCATCGCCATCAACCATCCACTCGTCCCAATCTTGCGACCTCTGGTACACTCAATGATGCACTCAGATCCTTCGAAATCTTATTGGCCACTCATCATCCCAGAACTCCGGTCGGAAGATGCTTTGGATTCTATCCAACCGATAACCAGCAAGATAACGTCGATGGATTGGTCCTGATTCCTCACGTTGGCGATCAAAAGTTCTACCTCCAACGTTTGATCACCGAATTTGCCTCCGATCTCATCCGATCTTTCCAACATCTCGTCAGTCTTACCTTAAGCTTCTTACTTTTCCCCGGAAAAAAAAACTATTTCAAAACAAATATCTATATCTATATGCTCCATCAACCTGATCTTCCTTACAGTCAGACCCTTTACTTCCTGTCTACTAGTCAGCTGTTCTCCAATCGACCTCAAGCTTAGAAACTCCAAGACAATCCTATAATTCAGCTTTATTTGATTCGATCCCAATCTTACCACCTCTGCATTTGATCCCAAATCCAGCACTACGATCACCACCCGATGAAGCTCCAGCTGGGATGCTTCACCCCACAGCATCATCCTCAAAATTGGCTGCACCCAAGGCTCGTCAACCGATGGATTATATGCTGAACGACATGAAGCTTTCATCTGAACCAGTCTCCCCTCGTGCTACGCGCCCTGACGAGCCCAATCATTCCACCTCGGTACCCCCTGCCATCAATAACCGGCTTCTGAATGGCGAAAACCGAATTCCCGCCTCGTTTTCTCCTCCTCCAATCGACTCACGAGTCCGTAAAAGACATATCGGTCGAATAAGAAAAGTAGAAGCTGATCTAGAACTTTTAGCTGCGAAACCGATCAATGCACTCAAGATCTACAGCGAAGCGATCGGTCATCTAAAATTAGCAAGCGACTATGTCTGGTGGGCTGCAGCGCTCGAAGGACTAGCAGTCACCAAGATGCTCTCATTACTTGCAGGGGTGGTTGCCGAGAACAGCGTACAAGAAATATCAGATGACTTGGAGCTAGCCGTCGAAACGTATTCGAAAGCCCTTTCAAGGTCATTTGATGGGACGTTGGTCCATGGAAATTTAGAATCTGTCGAGCCTCTGGTATTCGTGGAATCTGTCATAAGACTCTTGGATTTCAAATTGGAACTGATCGAGCTACGTGACTCACAAGTGGAACGTGCAGATGGGGAACTTTTGCGCATGCTTCTGGGAAATCATCTCGCTCAGCGTCGTAAATCAGACCATCGCAAACCGTTTTCTCTCGAACTCAGGTTGGATATCAATCGAATAGGATCTATGGTTGAATTGGCCGTTGATGGATTAAGATTTGCAGAGGATCGAATTCGTGCGTTGAGTAAATTAGTAGGCGTGTTTGAGAGAATTGGCTTCATGAGGAAGGCAGCCTGGTTCAAACGGAAATTGGTCGGCGTGGTAGTGGAACAGATTGGCAAATTTCGTGGATCGATCCCATTGCAAGGACGGCAAGAGCTGGTGAAGCTGATCGAGGAGGTGTGCAAGTCGTTTCGAGTTCCAATTGACGAGCTTTCTCACCAACCCGTCGTGATCGATTACCGCCTCGGTCGGATTGATCAAGCTCAAGCAGGATGGAAGGAGCTTCAGCTTGGAGTCTTACTGGACGCAGTGATTGCTTGTGGTCAACTGGAAGAAAACTTGAGTGAATTAAAGTTTCGGTTGAAGTTGAATGAGTTTCTTGATCACCACGGATCACATGACCTTGAGATCAAGGATGATGATAGGAGGATCAACTGGCTTTTCAAGACTCTCGCCCATCCATCGCTAAAATATTGGGGACCGAGGCAGATCGTTCTGACGCTGGAGCTTGTTCCGTAAGTGAAGAAACGCATCACTGAAAAAAACTCCTTGTATCTTTTTGTGCGTCCAGCCGAAGTACTCGATTCTGACGATTCTATGAATTGCTCCCTTAGGTTGTCCGATCGGCATGCACTCATACCGTATCATACACGTCCAATCTTACAGACAGGGATCCATGCCGGGACAAACGACATACCCTTGCCAACGTTTTACTACAACCACAATCGCACACCTACGGGCATGGGGAAAGACAAGGCACTGCCGTTAAAGATGGTCAAAGACGAACCGATCAATGTCTTGGTTACTTTACAGAATCCTATGTCAATTGACCTTGAAATATTGATGATTTGTTTAAGGTAAGAACTCCTCACCGTTTCCCAGGCAGAACAATGCTGAAAGGTTTTGGTTTGATTCAGTGCGATCGGAATACCGTTTGAAGCAATAAAAACACAAACTGTGGTCAAGTCCCGAACGGTGAAGACAATTGCATTGACCGGGGTTCCGTTGTCGAGTGGAACGTTAAAGATTAAGGGATGCCAGGTGCAGTTAATTGGATGCGATGAACCTCAAGAGTTCATCTTGCCGATTGGAAAGCCGAAATGGAACAAGAAAGACGAAGAAGAATTGCTTAGCTGTGAAGTGGTTGACGGCTTGCCCTTTTTGAGGATTGTCAGTGGCTGTGAGGAATTAGCCGGAGGTGGTGGAGTGATGGTCTATGATGGCGAGGTGTAAGTGATCTTCTTTGAGACCATTGTTGACAAAAGAAACAGAAGGTCTAATGAGGAGAACGGGTCGCCTCACACGTTTCTGTTTTTTTTTTCCAATTAGGGTAACGATCGAGATCAAGATCATGAACACCTCTAAAGTTCGGGCTGATTGGATCGATGTGGCTGTGCAAGACAGTTTGAGTGACCAGATGAAGAAAACACTAGACGATCCACAAAGTAGCCACCACGCTACCTACGAGCGATATCAACTGGAATATGAACTAGTCCACCGGCCAGTGCTGAGTGTCACGTGGACTGACTCGATTGACGCTCTTGGGATGGGATGGGTCAGACTGAAGTGTTTGGGTAAGGCCGGCTGTCGGTCTGTTGGCGTGAGGATCGAGTACGATGTGGATGGTGGATTGAATCTGAAAAGACATCTTGAATGGAGCATCGGCTTATCTGTTCAGAAATCTCTCAACGTCGTTGGATTCGAAAGCTTAGCCGGTGGCATGCTCATCATCAAGGTTCAAAACTCTGCTCAAGGCGGGCAAGTGTTTGAGGTGGAAGCTAAAGGTAGTTATCGTTTTATCCTAATAGTGAACTCAGTTTCCTCACACAAAAGGATTTTGCACTGAGTCCAGGCGAAAATTGTGGTATTGCTTTAGGCGGCAGGGCCGACTCCCAATCGTTTATCATAGAAAGTCAGAAGCAAGTCATTCAACCTGGTTCAACTCACGCGTCAGTATGGGTCTCCACTTTTATTTTCTTGGGTATCAACAAGCAAACAATGAACGCAACATTATAATGCTTATTATCTAGATTTTTGATCGAAATCGAACCAATCAAAGTCACTCAGCTCGATTCGGAAAGATCCATACCTTCTCTGATTGATCGTCAATTTGTTGTCACTCATCGGCAAGACAAGCATGATGATCCTGCTGATGATGGTGATGTGAATGACACAACCAACAAGTATCGCCACAACAAGCGCATCTCTAAGGAGAAATTGGCACATGCCGAGCTGTTGAAGTTTTGGATTAAAGATCGACTTCTGAATACTATCACAATGGAATGGCGTGAAGTGAGTTTTTTTGCTGACCTTTCTCCACCTCTTTCATGCGTGACCTCCTAGATTGATGGATTTTAACATGTCATGAATAACTTGGGCTGATAAATAATTAAAAGGTTGGGACAAATAAGTTTGGAGAGATCAGTTTGAGAGGAGTACAAGTCGATCAACAGATGGTCACCAACTTGAGATCCCATGAGGTTTCGGTTCAGTTGAGCGTTCTCAATCAAGATCTCCATCACATAAATGACAAGCCGCTGGATGAACTTCATCGATCCTCCTTGAGACCTCAAACTTTACTCGAGATCGACACATTTTACTCCGTTCTTACTAAAATCAAAAACCAATCAGGTGCGTGTCCCTGCCGCTCATTGTTATATCCATCCTTTTTCGAGCTCGAATAGCAAACTTAAAGTATGTGCACATTCCTTTTGGGATATAATGATTTGGTTTACAGGAATGAAGAAGAAAGTCGACTGTTTGGTTAAAGTGATGCGATTAGATGGGACGATCATCCCAACAAGCAGTCATACAACTGAAGATCAAAGCGAGTCGTTGATTTATCTGATTGAGGGCGTGGTTCAAGACCAGGACTGCCATGAATTTCCTCATGAGCACCAGTGCAACCAGGGAGGCACAAGGACGGTTATGTTGGACGAAAATGATGAGGATGAAGGACACCAGGTTGAGATGAAAATCTGCTTCTTGACTCAAGGTGCTTTCTTACTCCAAGCCGTCGCTCTCGACTCCTTTCCTCATCAGCATCTTGACCATCATCCTCATTCTCCTCTTGGGACATCTGAGGTTATTCATTTGGTTGTCTCTTAGATTTTTTTTCTCTATCAATACTTCCTCTATATTTATTTCTTTGGGCCAAACAAGGAACAAAGGTAAAACTTTTTTTCTCATTTTATAAAGTTCCCAAATCAAAATCACGGTTATCTTGATGTTCATTTTGTCTCTCTTCTGATCATTCAGTAAATGTACTACGTTTCAGCAAAAAAGTTCCAGTTCAATCAATAGAAAATATTCATAAATTGATCGATAAGTTTTACATTTCACCTGATTTGGTACTTGAAGCTGCTGGACAACAGTTCATGGAATGAGAAACAGACTTTTCAAGTTGTGCTTATGTTTGGATATATGTATGTACTCGAAGACATTCTTCGGCCAAGACCAGCGGGCGTTGTGTTGTCCACATACACACACTATTTTTGAATACAAATAGATACCTAACCGCTAGAGTGATTCGGATTAAGCTATTTTTTCTTTGAAAAAATCCTTCTTTTGTGCAAGATTGAAGATAAATTTACTTGCGATGCGCCGAAGAAGGGCCTGGATAGCTCTGGCTTTGAGAAAGAGAGAGCTTACCACCGTGTCCTTGCGGTTTGGATTGAGCTCGTCGATGATTGTTTAGGAGATCACAAGTGGGAGACCGTGTCTGGGCCGAGGTGGTCCCCCTTGATCGTCCTGGAGAAGCCATCCGATGAGATGGCCTTGAGATGAATCGATGCTGGTTGGAGTAGGCCTGGCTGAGAACTTACGGAGCTTCCAATCCTCGGCACCGCTAACGCGGCCGGAGGCTTGAGCTCTTTCCTTGGACCCGGCACGCCAAGTTTCACAAGTCCCAATTCCACTTCGGTCTCACGAAAATCTTGACGTGTTGTACCGGTACGTATGATTGTTATAAGGAAGTTTGCTGACCATGTCGGATTGCTCCACCTAAAGCTCCACCTCTGGCGAATTTTGGGAACATATTCTTCACTTGAAACTATCTTATAAATCTACTCGGGCTGCGTCAACACCATTTTTACCAATAATTGGATCAATTACTATGGATGAGACCTATGTTCAATGTGAGGTAGATGAAGTTTTGACGTGGCCATCAAAACAAAACAACCTCAGGTCCTGTAAATTGGGACTACAGATTCCAATGAAGCAAACGGAGTGCCAGGCAGTGCTCTGAGTCAAGAATGATGATGGCAGAATTCTATGACTGATCAAAACCAATTTTATGATCTCAAGGCTCAGTTTACTAGATATACTCAGCTGAATTCATCCACCAAGCTAACTGAAAATGCACCTCCAGAGTTCAGGAAGGTACCATTGCCTTGTGCAAATGTTGTTGTGGCCAAGTTGTCAAGTTTTAGCTCGGCCTGGCTTGTGGAATTTAGGAAATAACTACGAGCGTCTACCATTGATATGTCAACACGGCCTGCCACACTCCACTGATAGTAGTTCTGGGGAGATGGCTTTGGACAGGCAAAACAGTCACAAACGAGCATTTCAAGGCTTTCTTCCGCTTCTGCAACAAGACTCCGTTACGGACTACGAGACGATCATGCAAGAAGTTGATCAATGGCCAAGTGGGTTCCTTCTTTTGTTTTTATATAGTTTCCATCAGACTCATAGCTAATTTTTTCCTCTTGTTATCAGTCTCCCCTGAAACAGAATCAACTTTTGGTAGGGAAAAGAGATTAAAGATATCCGACCTGGGATTTCACTCTGATGAGTGGAGCAAAATTCCTACCCCATATGAGGCAGAAGCTACACCATATTGTCACTCAGAGTCAAGCAATGCCCATAATGAAAAAGATTCAAATGTAAAATCCATGGACACAGTTCCACTGGCAGAGCTTGAATTTGTGAGTCAAGAAGATATATGGTGCTCCCTGGACCAGCAACTCAACCATGGGCAAGATAATGTTCAATTTTCAGGTAAGCAAACATTCCTGCATCAATTTTGATAAATCAATCAGTTCTGTTAAAACCAGATTGGTTTGGTTTGATGTGGTAAACACGTTACATCAGATCCTAATATTAATGCCAGTCAGATCCTTCACCATGAAGAAGCTCTGGACAATCAAAGAATTCAAGATGATGAAAATGAGCAAAGTGATATTTTTAGATCATCTCAATCACATCCCAATGATTTGAAATCAGGACTGGAGGGATTGAATTTGATGTCTAATTCAGATGAGCCAATCTTGGAATTCATTTCTTTTCCTGAACTCTGTATGAATTGGGATTTCCTTGGAATAGTGCTACAAAACTTTAATCATCACCTGGAGAAGACCTACAGAGCCAATCATAATGGGCATAGGGGATCACTAGTAGATCATAAAATGGATCAATATCCATCAGTTGTGCTTAAAATCCCAAAATTTGAAAAATATAAACATTCAATATGGCTTTTGAATAGCAAATCAGGTATTCACCAAGGAGTTGCTATCTTGAAAGAAAAATTTGAGAGCTTGATCAAGTGGATGATCTTCATCAATACAGCTGTCCTTAGGAAATTGGATCAGTTTGAATCTAGCCCAAATGAACTTTTGTCTCACTCAAAAATCCTGCAATGGTTATTTCAGGAGGCCTTTGAACCAAAAAATTCTTTTCCAGTCTTAGGATCAATTCAGAATTGGGAAGAATTGAAGAAAGGTCAAGAATTTGGACCCATACAAAAGATTTTGATTGATTATCTCTCATCAGGGCAGCTAATTGGGGAATCTCTCAAAACATCCATCTCAATCATTGAATTATGGTATAAATATTTTGAAATTGATGCTTGGCAACAAATTTCAAGTCATGGAAAACACTCTAGTCAAGAGACAAGACTGAAATCACTTACAATAGATGCAATTAAATCAGGGGTAAAAGTATATCAGGGTATTTATGAGCATTGTGATACTGGAAGAAGAATATTTGAAAAACCTGATGCACTAGGAGGATATGAAATTCCACAACTAGTCAAACTCCCCGTTTCAATGCACCCTAGAAATATCCACAGTAATTTGGCAGAAGTTGAGACAAAGATGATCTTGAAGTTCATCCCTGATACCACAGGGTTTAGCCAAAAAGATAAAATATCCATCAAGGGTCTTCCAGTATTGATGATAGAGTATATTGATAATGAAGGTAAATCATTCTATAGAACATCATTAATGGATGAAACTGGGGATGTGATTGGGAAAAAGCAATTTGATAAAAAGTTGGATGGCTTACTTTTTCACTTGAAACTATGCCACAAATTCTTGATTACATTTTTCAAAATTGACAAAATGCCAATGATGAAAAATGTGTTAATGTATTTCAATGAATGGTTTTTTGAAATCTTGACTGGCAAAAAATTCAGACGTTTGCCAATTGTTGGTGATGTTGATGGAAATTATTTTGTAAAATCTGGTGATCCTCAGTTTGATGAAGTTCAATTTTACTTGATAGAAAAGTACTTCACTCATAAGATGGGTCTAGAGAAAGTGATTCAAGTCTCTCTGGCTGTTATCCAGTACTGGTATGGGAAGTATTACCCTGAAATTTTTGTCAAATTCAAAAAGTATTACTGGAAGGAAATGATTGAAGCTCTTGGAACAAAACTCACGAGGAATGGTAGATATTCTTTAAAGAAATTTGACTCTGATGGAAATTATGTGGGGAGGAAAGACATTGGGATTGCAATTTGATTGGAAGAAAGGTTTTTGAATGTTGCAAAGTTTTCCTAAACAAAATAGTATAAAGGCTGAGTTGCCAATATGTGTGGCAAGTTTGGATGTCAGAACATTTATCATCCAATTTATTTAAAATCATTCTGAATCATCACAGCAAATCAAATTTTGATTTTTCTGTTTTCACTCCAACTTTCCAGTTTTTAGCTATTTTCAATGTTTCTGGAATGAAAGATCTCCTTTTCTGCTTGTAATTTTCCAGAATGCCTGAAAAAAACCAGGTCAAATCAAATTATTCTTTTATGCCAATCTTATATAACTTATTTAAAATTCCAGGGGAGTTGATAGTAAGTGTTGATTTGGGTTTATATGAGCAAGAAAGGGTGTGCCCAAGTTGCTATGGGTGATTGGTAATTTCTGTTTGCACCTTTCAGCCAGGTTAAAATATTATTAGAGTGTTAATTGGACCCATAACTTCAGACACATTCCACCATTTGATGCAGCCAGGAGATCTGCTCAAATGACTTAGCAAAATTTGAGACAGAAAGTTTGTTAAAGTAGCTCCCTGAAACCTCAGGTTTTACCAAAGAAGATAAAATACTAATCCAGGATGTTTGATCAAGTAGCACTGATAGAGTATATCAAAAATGATGGAGAGTCATTCTATAGAACATCATTACTGAATAAGAATGGGGATAGCATGACACAAAATGAATTTAACAAGAAATTGGATGGTTTAATTTTTCATTTGAAACTATGTCATAAATTTATGATTATTCACTTCAAATTTAACAAACAGGGGGTATCAAATAGGGCAAATCCGCCATTAGAAACCATGCCTATATTTGATACTCCCTAATGGGCTTCCAGAGGTGTTAAACAAAGTACCAAAATGTTATAAAAATGGTGGATTGTTCCAAGCAAGCCAATTAATTAATGGTGGATTTGTTTAGGGGGTTGGAATAACAACTCCCAAATACGGTTGTTGGACATTGCTTGGGAGTCATTCCTCCAAATGGATGGGAGTCTGCCATCCATTTATAAATAATTGTTTTATTTTTTGGGAGGCAGCTCCCCAAACCACCCCTCATGCTTGAGGTGATTTGGGAGTTTCTCCCACACATTCATTCTGGTCAATGGGGTTGCTGTTTCTCATCAACTGGAAGAAAATCCTTCTGGTTGGCCAACATCTTTGACCAGAGGGAATTTCTTCCCTCAATGAGGTTTTTACACCTCATTGGCTGGAAGGGATTCCTTCCGGTAGAAATAACAACTTAATTAACCAGAAGGGATTGATGAATTTCTTATGCCTACCAGAAGGAATCCCTTCTGGCTGATGCCTTATGGTCAATGAGGTTTCTGTATCTCATTGAATGGAAGAAATCCCTTCCAGTTGATGAAGTTTTCATGCCTTCTGAGAGGATTTCCTTCCAGCCAATGAGGTTGTTGGACCTCATTGAACTGAAGGAATTCCTTCTGGTCATGTGGGAGCAACTCCCAACTCCCCTCAAGCATGAGGGGTGGCTTGGGGAGCCAATTCCTAAAAAATGCAAATATAATATAATATAAATGGATGGCCAAATCCCAAATTCTGCCATCCATTTGGAAAAACAACTCTCAAACAACCGTATTTGGGAGTTTTTTTTCCAACCCCCTTTGGTTATACCCTAATATACCATTACCAGAAAATGCATGTTCTGTTTTTTTTTTTTTGGAAATCTTGACAAGTAAAGAATATGGCTGTTTTCAAATCATTGGTGAAGTTGATGAACTATTTACCAGTGAATTTGATTTTTCCAACAGTGGGCCAGTTACACTAGCCATAGTGTTAGTGTAGCAGAATTCCACTAAACTTTAGCGTAGCGTTGTAAAGCTCAAAAGTGTTTGTGAAAACCTTTTGCTGAGTGTGGAAAGGGATGAATGAGGATACCTCTGCCTTTCCTGGATCACTAGACACTAGACAAGCCCACCAATCTCAGATTGGAAGGTTTAATAAAGTGATAGTGGAGTGTATCAAAAGATAACTGTGGCTTAACAGGTGGACAAAGGGTTTAACCCAGTTTTATAAGTGAGTCTAGCTGATATTTCAATGGTAAGGGGATGGTATGTAATGGTATGTAAGGGTTTGTAAGGGGAGGGGGTATGAAATAGGTGGATACTAAACTGAGGGGAAAACAACTGAGAGGAGAGCCTCTTAAATACACAAAGGTGAGGGATTTTAGCTTCAGGGGAACAAGAGAATGAGAAATTTTAGCTGGCCAGAGCTTTACAATGAGGGGATTTAGCTAGTCAGAACATGTACATGAGGTATTTT